ACACACACACACACACACACACACACACACACACACACACACACACATATATATATATATATATACACTTTATAAATTTTTTATTTATACATAGGTATATTACATACATATTATGTATCATTATTAACTAAATACTTTTAGTAATACTACGCAATACGCATTGAAAAATAAGTATAAAACGTTTTCGTTGCCTGAACAGTATCCAAAAAAAATTAAGCTGAGGTCGAATTTTTCAGCTAAAATCACTCTCCATAAATCGCTATTGAATCAAATATTTAAAAAACACATTATAATAATTATTATTTATTATAAAACAACATTTTTATCAAGGCGTTTGGCGTAGGCAAAATGGACTTTTAATAAAATTATTATATGCCATCAATTCGACTAGATGAAAAATAATATAATGATGTGCAAATCGTAAAATTGAGTTCTAAGGGAAAACGCTTGTTGATAAGCCTAAGGTCGTCTTTAAAATTTTCTCAGGAGGCGGGGCTAACAATTGTTTTCGTCGTATTAATTTATAAATTATTTTTTCTATGATTTTTATCATTGATTAGAATATTGTATATTTAATCAATGTTTTTAGATTAAGTACTTATATTTATTACATTTATTGTATATATATAATACATATATTAATAAACTAAAAGAAAACAACTAAAATAATTTTAAATTCATTTAGCCCATATATAATATTATATTACTTAACGTATGTATGTAAAGTTAACACGATGCCCTGCAAATAAGTGAGTACGCTTAAACGCTGTTGGTTTTTACTGGTTGTAATCTTGTGACTTGTCAAACATAATTTTATAAATTTATTATATTGATTTATGATTATTATTACTATATACATATATTATGATATGATTTATGGCTTATGAATTAAGACCATTGACCTGAAACACTAATTAGTGAAAATTGTATGAAAAAATAGCATAATAAGCCACTGCGCTGTCCTTATACTTGACAGTTGCCACCCTCCCTCGTGAATGTATTTGGAAAAGACCTGTAATAATAATTATTATTTATAAGCTAGAACTTTCTTGTGGTTTCGTCAGTTTCTACATGAATAAAATTAGAATTTAAGCATAAGTTAAGTTATTTAGTAGGTATATAAATTCATAATATTTTGAGTTCAATTGATAAATAGAAATTAGAGATTCATAATTGAATAGATGAATTGAAAATTTTATTTTTGAAAATGATTTAAATGAGATTTTTACATTATTTTCATGCGCTACAAATACAGAATTGTTGAAACAATTATTTGAAATAGTATATAATGCGTATAGATTATTTTTTAAATTATTTTCATAAATATTTTATACAGCTCTATACAATTATCATGGATTGAAAAATAATATTTAAATATTTTAATGATGTTTTACTTTTTACCGGATAAAATATTGATGACACAACAACCAACTAATGTTTATCACACCAACTGCATTTAAGTTGTTAGTCATAAGTCTGAATAAAGTGGAAAAGAAATCTGTATCGTTATAAGTTATAAGTTTTATTCGTGTAAGAATTTATGTACTATAGCAGCGGTTCCCAAACTGCGAGGCGCGGCTCCCTTGGGAGACGCAAGAACTTAACAGGGGAAGCGCGATATAAACATTGATATTGTAGTATTGTACACATTCACTATAAGTTTTAGGTATATATAAAATAATATAGAACTATATACTAATAACGATTTTTGTTTTATTCACTCGAGAGAGGCGCAATTGAATTATTTTTATTTTTGGTGATGCGTGAACCAAAAAAGTTTGAGCACCGCTGTAGTATAGTGTACAGCACTTTACAAATGTATTTTTTCATGCTAAAACGTATACATAGTCGAGACGACTAAAATGGATGATTTTTACTTGCTATATCTCGCATGAGAATTTATACATTTTCCTATTTTCTCAGGGGTGTTGCGGCTTAATGCTTAATTATGGCGAACAAGTCCCATGCAGACGTTTTTATCGCTTTATACGTTGTCTTTGCATATATATATATATATATATATATATAAAAAACTTTCATGTATTTAAATGTGTAAAATAATTATTAAATATATAAATTATAAATTCGTCTAGTTCAACTTAGAATTTAGCAACCATTACAATTTTTTTTTTTGAAAAAACAGTGGTCCGAAAACTATATGATGTTGAAAAAAATATAAGCCTCATAAGTCACAGACCGAGATAAAAAGTGGATTTACGGTTAGTATATTTTTTCAATACAACATATTTTTCAGATCTCTGTTTTTGTAAAATTGTAACGTTGCTGAAATTAATGCACTCTAATAATGTATGCCCTTTATGGTAACTTGGTATTTATTTTGTTAATAGTATTATTGAAATTCAAGCGCGTAGACAAATGGGTTTTTAGGGGTTCAAACTCCTCTCTTGAAATTTAAGAAAAATTATCAATCATATTTTTATAAAGAAAAGTAGTTTTTGTCAATGAGCTTCTTATCATATAACTATATATAAGTATGAAAATGTATAATCTAACCTTTTTTCCCCTTTCGCCTCTAAACAAAAACAACAATTTGTGCATGTAGCTGTTAATGGCTAATACCATTATTAAATATGTTATTTTTTAATTGGTGGTCAGTGAGGAGGTCTGGCTCATCGTGTAAAGGCGTAATATCCATGTAAAATCATGACTCATGGACTAACTGGAAAAAGGAGAAAAGTAAATAACCGCTTTGTTGTGTAGTTGGTATCGAGTTTTCCTTATGATTGAGAAGTAAGTCACTGTTTAACGTATATGTTAAATTTGAATTTTATGATATACTTAAGTAACTATTAAAGTCATTTATTTTACAGTTGGTAGATAATAGCTAATAAGGATAAATTAAATTCATTTTTACTGAAAACATGGCATTTGAAAATATCATATGTATAAAATATATCCTAGTTTCAAATAGGTACCCTATTGGCTTTCGATCCTAGCATTGCGTAAATACAATAGGTAACCACATAAAATGGGCCGAAATATTGAAAAATTCTATTACATGTCAAGAGTCAATGTCTGTGAAGTGAAACGCGACTGCATCAGGACCTGAGCGCAATACCACAGGGCACAGAATATGAAATATACTGCAACTCTTATACTGATATAGACGCTCGCGGGGCTTAAGGTTAGCTAACCTAACGACGTGGGCGATCGTCACAATTATTACAATTGTTATTATCAACCATTTGGGTTTTGTGTGTCAGACGGAACGAAATACGCGACTCTTGCACCCTACTCGTTTTGGATTCGCCGCGTCAAAGCGCACAACATTTCGTCAATCGCCGATGACGCTAACAAATTTTCGCGTTTCAGCATTAGGCGCGCGGACAGCTACAGCAGTCAGCAATGTGGCGCTATCAAAAAAGATAGGCACAATAACACATTATTGTGGCCATTAATATCGCCCGGTTCATTGACCGCCGGGCGCGATAATAATAAACAACACGACAATAATTGCGGTTAAAATAATCGAGGAAAACACGTATAATACTAATACTAATAATAATAGTATGTCGTCCGTCGTAGGCCGCACACCGTATTTCTGGAGACAACCGCGTCTCGAACGACAATAAATAAAAAAAAAATAAAACAGATAAATGCGAACGGACAAGACAACGTAGTCAACAATAATAATAATTATTATTATTATCGTACACACACACACACACACACAGAGGTATTTATACCTCTCTCTCGGAACGGTGTTAAGTATAAACAGTGGCGTCATTTGGGGGGGGGGGCAACTTGGGTATTTTCCCTAGTCTAACATTTACAACAACTTTATAAGTCGGCACATTTAAAAATATTATAAGAAGTTTTATTTTTAGCTCGTTAACAGGCCATTGTAATGAATCGTATGTCATTAATATTTTGATTGATAAATAAATTTATAATTATTTTATCGATTATAATAATATTAGTAATATTACTAATAACAGAACAGCCACCATGTCCAAGTGGGACAGTAATAATTGGTACTAGGCGCTCGCGCATTAGGATTTTAGACACCACTAGACTCTGGCAGTTGGCGCTCTGCAGAGTACGTAGGTACCTATACTTTGTACAAGCAAGAATTATTATATATTTTTTTGAAAAATTTTGAGTCGGCAAATCAGTGAGTGATCGCTCCAGTCCAATAAAAACTGAAATGACACCACTGCGGTGTAGACAATAAACGCGCGCGTTTCCCCGCGGTCGTCGGACGGGACCCACTCATCGCCCGACCATGCGTTCCGCCCGTTCCGCCGGACCCGTCTACCCGTCCGCCGGCCATGGGTACACCGCCCCGCGCGCGCCGGCCGAGACGTATCACGAATATATCCCCGTCGCCGGTAACACTGACGACCGACGAGCATGAGCTCCCCAATGCCACTATCTCCTCGGCGGCCTGCGAGTGTGCATGGGCACATTCCCGTTCCAGACGCGCGCGCGGTCATCGTCCACCTGGATTCTTGGACGGGACGCACCAACGACGGAGGTACGTGCCACCATCGCCGGATCACGTTGCACACGGTAACAGCGGCGGTGCCGTAGCCGAGCACTCTCTCTCCGGACGACCCGTTCCCGGTGACGACTGACGACGCGCGCTTTCGCATCGAGTAAGTCCGCGGAAGGTTCCGCTTCATCCGTTTCCTCGCGGTTTTCTACCGTCATCCGAACCCCGCACACGTGCCGTGCAAGATCGGCGCTCTTGGGGGGGGGGCGGTCTTGTGTCGGCGCCAGGTCCTCCTCGTGACCGCGCCAAGCTCGCTCCTCGTGTCCGCCCGAAAGACCGTTTTCCGGAGTCGCTCGACAGACGCAAGTGCTGTGTGGGTATACCTCGCGTAGTCTAGCGTCCGGTGCGGTCGATCGACGGTCCGCAGACCGTGTTGTCGAGTGATCCAAGTCTCCCCGGCGAAGGACGTCCGGCGGTCGTGTCTCTTGAGATCGTCGGTCGCCGCCACCGCGACCGTAGGTGTTCAGAGGCTTCTTCCGTCTTTTTGCCGCCGCCCCCGCACGAGCTTCACGTCCTCCTCATTCGAATTCCATTTGCTTTTTACCGTTCGATTTCCTTTGCTAGTTCCACTGTCGCGCCTTGTCCACTTGCACTTGGTAAATTCGCGTGTTTTAGTGGTGTTAGGTAATTTTTTATTTTTCAATCGCATAGATTTTCACAAACCACTTTTTATTTGTCCGATATCCCATCGTTTCTTATTCACTTCTAGCTCTTAATCAACATCTCTAGTGTTATGATAGTGATAAATAATAATTTGAACAGTTCACTGATAACTATTTGAAAGTTTTTAGTGCCATTATTACATTAGTTCAAACTTTCTGTACAGTTGTGACTGCATAAAAACATTTTTCCTAATTTTGTAAACACTGATATATAGTAAAAATTGATCATTTATAATCATTTTTTATCTAGTTTAAAAAATAGTGATATTTTCATTGAAATGTCAGTTGGACAGTATGTTATCCGAGTCTTTTGTAATAATTTTTTAAAGCTATATTTCTTGTAGATAGGTAACACGTTTTACCAATCTATTATTAAACATTTATATTACAAATGCCCATTATTCTATACACAAAAAAATTAAAAGTATGTTGTTTGGTGAATTATTCAGTTCATTTCATATTGATAAGGAAGATGAAGTTTTTTCAAAAAATAATTTTTATTTTTTTTAATTTTCATTATTTTAATTTACATAAGTATTCAATTTAAATTTTGATTTTAGTAACATTATATAAATATTAAATTTAAATAAATTGTTACACCGAAAAAATATGATATATTTACCAGAATAGCAAAATTAAGTTGTATCAACTATACATATAATAACTTAACCATGTGATGAATTTGTGTTGGTATGTTTAAATTTTCATGTAATATTTAATGTCTGTTGCTTTTCTGTTGTTATTTAAAGCATCTATTTCTGTCAAATGTAATTGAAAATTGTGTGTACCTAAAGCTATTGTGATGAGATAGTATTCATGAAATCGAAAATTGGTTAACACTAATAAATTAGAGCAGAAAATATAATAAAAATATTTATGACATGGTTTAAAATCATACATATTTAATTTATTTCTAACAGTGTGTTAATGATAACAATTATTACAATTCTAAATATTATTAAATATTTATTTAAATTACATTTAATTTGATTTTTTTTAGATCACTAAGCTAACAATGAAGGAACGTTATCGAAAACAAAAGTTTTTGAAAAATGTAGGTCTACAACCATCTAAGAATACAAAGTATGTATAGATAATTTTTTTAAGCTCAATTAATAGTTAAAAATAATTATAATTAATTTTTTTTTAGGCCTGCTGATGAAGAAAATGATTCCAATGTAAGTATGATAATTTGTTTAATAATAATGTTAATGCCTTGTAATGCTTTGTTACCTAGCCTTGTATGTGTCTAAAACATTTTTATTTTATTTTAGATATGCGAAAGACTATGTTTTTATTACTTTGATGATGATGCACAAGTGATATGTCGAGGTTGTTGTAAAACTTTTAAAACATGGTTAAATTATCGAATGCATTTTAATACATTAGCATGCCACACAACTGAAACAAATTACAAGCTAAACACTTATAACGATGTTTATAAGAAATACAAATTAAAGAAAGCCAAGACTAAGAAAAAAATGAAAGACCGTTTAAGTGCTGCACAACTTATGGATTTGGAAACTTTGAACACTCGTAAAACAAGAAAAAGGTATAATTTTTCATAGTTATAAATTTTGTTTGATAAAATATTAATTGAAATATTATTATTTTGTTATTTAGATGTTACAAAAACACTAGGGTAATTGTGACTGTTTCAAAATCTTCATCAGACTCTGGTTCATTAAGTTTAGAAAAGGTAAATGTAAAGACGATAAAGAAAGAAGCTGTTGAAAATGTTATTAGTAGTGATGAAAGTGTTGAGGAGTCAAAAATAAAATCTAAACCAAAACCAATTGGTTGCAATACTATTCAAGTTAAAGACATTCCAAGTAGTTCAAAAACTGTAATTCCAAATACACCTCATGACAATCAGGCGACATTAACCATAAAAACAGAATGGAAAACTAATGACTTATCACAGATTTCTTCGGACGATCACTCATCAAGCTCTGCTCATGGTTTATCAAAATTTAGTCCCCAAAACAACGAAGCATTAAAATATCAGTATGTTTGTGTTATTTGCGATGCACAATTTTTGAGTAAATGTTCACTTACTATGCACCAAGTACAGCATATCAAATCAGACCGCAGTAGTTATAGCGTTTTTATGGCTGCATTGACTCAATCTGCTAGAGTTTAGTCTATCAAATGTCATTTGAGTTATGACATAAAGGTAACTTTAATCCCTATAATAAAGTATCAAGTCCTATTTATTTATTTATTTATTTATTTATTTAACAATGGTTTAACATAAACTGATTGATACTTGTTGTTCAATTTTAAGAGAATAAGTTTTTTTTTTATTTGCATTATTTAAGTTTTTTATCAAACGTGCATTACCATTAAGTTTCACAACATAATGTGACCATAGATGTCTTTCAAATGTATTGTATTTACTTTTATTTGATTCCTATATTGTTTTTTTTTTTTTTTATTTTAGATTATAATAATTTTTACCTTATGTTTATAATTAAGTTGAATTTTAGAATACGGAAAAATATTGTTTGGTTAAGCTAAAAAAAAATATTGACTCTAGCAGCATTATTGAGATTTTTTATGAACCATATCAAATATTATTGAATACAAGTGTTTTTATTTACTTATTTGTTTATTTTTAATTATTTATCCAACATTATCTTGAGCTGTTTTTTCTTCGAGATTTAAGTTGGTGATACTTTAATATAGGGCACTTTAAATCCTAAGGTTTGCTTTTTTTTTTGTATAACAATTACTATTATTAACATTTAAGATAATATTTTGTATTTTCAGTGTACCTCACATAAAATAAATGAAAATTATTAATTTTTTTTTTTGCCTTATAGTTTTGTGTATATATTTATGTTTAATTTTTATCTGGTATATTATAGTAATGGACTTAGATTTTAATTCTGAAACAACTATAATTCACTCAATGTTGAATTAGCAGGATTTGAATTCTGAACTATATTTTCAACTAAACCAGTTCTAGAGTCAAGGCTAATTTTATTTATCATATCTAAATTTAAGTAGATAAATTCTCTTAAAATGCAATATGTATTGTTAGTAAATTGTGATTTGCGTTTACTGTTTATGTCATATATTATATGGTGTATAAATGACATTGAAATAGTATTCATAAACAGAATATTTATAAACATTTCATGAATTCATCTATCTAAAATGTTCTTTAGTTTTTTGCACACTTTATTGAACATTGGAGTTATTAAATCTTACCTGTATTATAAAACGCACCTAAATAGTTAAACGCTAATACACATCACAACTCTTATAACAATTGTACAGCGATCCTTTTAATCACTAGAGTATAGACTACAAACGGACTGCATTGGCGTTTTGACACGGACATAATTACTATGAGAAATGCTGATAGTCAAAAACTGAGAATTGCGAGATACCGATGTAGCCATAATCAAAACTGTATCTACCTACGGATTTAGAAATCGGTTTTGTTGTAATATCTGTTTCGCGTAATGCTGGTAAGCGGCTGAAGTTCAAGACTCGAGTACTACTGCCGTCTGCCAGTCACTAATCAGCTGTAAGTATACATAGACTTGTATTTATCTATGGTTGTGTATGTCGTTTATCTACTGTACGATACCCACAAAAATAGTACCTATAGAGTGGTAATCATTCGGCACAATTTTGAATTTTTTCTAAAAATGATTTTATTTGATATAGTGTACACAACGATACACACTTTGGTTCGGTACTGTTTATATATTTTTTAAACTATTGTGTTTTATTTCATTTTCTTCTTATATACTTGATAAAAAAAGTTTCGGAAGGGGGTGGAGGGGTAAGCAACCTCTTAACCCCCCGGATGTGCCACTGAATACCACAACACTAGTCAACAGATATTAAATTATTTTTCGTGAATCGTAGGAACATTTAGCACTGTGGCAATTTATTGATAAATACTTTCACAGCCATGCCACTGAGTGCGCCCAATTATTGGGTCTCAATATGATAATATTACGAACATTAATAATTATACTAATTATTATTTTGGAATTTGATAATGACAAGACATGACAAAAGTCAAATATTATAATTTATAATATATTTCATGATTCATATCACGTTCTCGATTGAGATAAATGTTTAACACGGTTTACGGCTAGTATACAGTTTTCACTGTATAATGGAAAACTGTCTAAAGCGGACCCTGAATAAAACGGAAAACTATCCAATACGGAATTTTTCTATGGACCCGGCACGTTCCTATAGTTTTATATAGACGCTCAACTTCAATAAAACGGAACGATTTTGTAAGTCCCATGCAAGTAAAAACCTTGCATAAACCGGAAAAATGACACGAGCGTATCAAATCTAAACCAAAAATAAGGTATAAAATATAGATATGCCGATGTACATTGTACATCGTTAAATAGTGATAGATAAAGAAGATACAATTGTTCTATAGGTACATATTCGTAAAATATAATATGTACATTTTAGTATTGTACATACAATGCATATTATCGCATCTTAAACGATACGAAATTTCTTCTTTGTAACTGTGAAACAGTCTTACACCAACAGTCGTACGTACACTTTTAATTTTATTTTATCTTCCGTTCATCGCATTAAATATTAAAATGCCAAAATATAAGTGTCTTTCATTAAATGAAAAATATCAACTGATCAAATTTAATAAATTTTAATGAATTATGTTATGTATTTAAAACAATAAATTGAGAAATATTCTTTGATATTTCTTATTCATTTGAATTGAATAATCCGGAATTTTTCCGTTTTATTAAATAAAGCGGAAAACTGCTTAAAGCGGAATTTTTTGTTGGTCCCATGCGATTCCGCTTTAGACAGTTTTCACTGTAATTGTATATTGAACCATTTATTTTTATAAACCTATATAAACGACTAATTTTCATGTACAAATAAGCGGAGTGTGTTGATTTACGTTTTGTTCGTTTAAGTACAATATAGGTATTTAATGAAAAAAAAATAGTATAAACGTGGGAGGGGCGGCAAAACTTTGGTTTGCTTAGGTATGTTAGAACGCTCAAGCCGGACATGCACGTGCGGCACCGTTGCGTCATCGTAATTTCGTTATTGTATTGTGCACACTTCCGTCGAATGGCGAGATGATGTCGGTCGACGACTATTTGTAGATACAATATACACACCGCTACACCAGCCGTGTCGAGTGTTCGGCAATAAATTGTCAATAACAATCGCGTCGACAAACTACGCGAGGTTGAAAGCGTACGTTGTGATGCAAAACTATATTGTGAGCTAATAGAATAGTACTTGAATTGAACTCAGTCCTCAGATCGACAGAATACATTTGTGAATTAGAACTAAACAACGAACGTGCATTGTACATACTGCATACACGCTGATTGCGGAAGTGTACGGCCGGAAGTCGGTAGTTTTTGTATTTTTAGCTTACATAAAAATAGTTTGTTGAAGGAAAACAAACGCAGTCGAGTGCATCCCTTTTACTGATTTGAGGCTCTCAAGAAAACACTTTTTTTGACGTACCTATTTCGAAGATTTAAGAAACAATCCAAACGATAGTTATAAATTGTAATTATTTCCGAATTTTTAATGAAATATAAATTTAACTCGCTTAATATGATTAACAAATTTTTATTTTACATTGAAATTCCTTTACTGCTCAGTTACACATCAGTACAACACCCCTGTGCAAGAATTTTATTCATAACACACCACTTTGTCTTATAATACGATCAGGGTTCTGAAAACAGACAAGTTTTCTGTGGAGTCTACTCGAAATCATTATCACCAAATGTTTGCCTCGAATCTTCCAAAAATTGTGTCCGACAAAATATATTATTTTTGCGGATAGTCGTTTTGAATTAGGCTCTAACGGTAAAGAAGCTTAATTTGTACATTTTTATGAAAAATTATAACATAATATATTGAATGACGTAGGTACATGCATCAAAATAACATAGTTTAACCATCTAAAGTCCATAGTTCATCCATATGATTGGATAGCGGTACAGAAAATGAAACTGGTTTTTCATATGTTAAGCTCACTTTTTGAAAGTCCGTCTTGTATTCTTCATCAATAATCTATAACAAAATCAAATAAGTAAATATGTGTTTGTTAAAATACATTAATGCAAATATTACTCCTTTAGACTGTTGTATGTAGTTAAATTTACAAATTAAAAGTTAAAGACAAAGTATGTCATACTGTCATGACATGATTACATGAATATTAGTTGTCAAATTAGATACATTGTATAAATTTAGTTAAGTTATTCTCCACTGGTACGTAATCATATTTTTGCGAGATTAATTTTCAAGAATTTTTAACTTTTTATACAAAATAATAACTTTTTTTTTACTCAGTAATCAATAAGATTGTTATTTATGTTTTGGTTTTGCGTGGTATAACTGAATAAGCATAATTCATGTGTGTGTGGTATATATTTATGTTCTACAATATTATATATATGATGTACCTATACTTTTTCATGGAATAAAATTAATTTTTACTTACACTTTCATAAGAGTTGTCTAATAATTCGCTCATGTCCCACTCAACTTGTGGCAATTTTTTAAATAAAAAGTTTACAGATTTTCCCACTTTTGGTAGAATGTGTTGTTTTAAAGAGACAAGTTCCCATAATGAGCTGTTTAATGCATTTGATTTCAGCGGATCCTTTTCTTCAAAAATATAAGGATCCGAACCAACTAAAATGTGAAATTGTATTGATATTATTAAATTAGAAATATATATTATATTTTTAAATATGCAAAATTACCGACAGAATCACTTTGGATCAATACTTTTAATGGTGGATGTCTAATTAGTAAATTTCCTATAAATGCTGCCATAATTTGAATGTCAGTTGGTGGTGCAATCAATGAAAGTCTAGCCATGCGTTTGACAAATGCAGCGACCAATAGTTCGGGTAAATGACTATAATAAATACAAAAAATAAAAATGAAACTAGATAATATTGAATAATAGGTATACAAATATTAATTTTAATCTACAATCTACAATTTAAATTAATGTATTTTATCATAAAAAAATTCTTCTTTATTTTTTTTTAAATTGTAACTTGTAAGTTGAATGTAAAAACAAATATAAAAAAAATAATCAAATATTAAGGTTTATAGTATGTAAGTTTATTTAAGTTAAAATCATAATAGTTAGTTCTTAAAAAGGACACCATGCAAAAACATGTATGTTTTGTTGTTATTTTACAAACATACTACAATACCAAATTTGAATTAAGGTAAATCAATTTTTTGTTGTTAACTTTAATATGAGAGTGAATTGATCTATTGTCAAACTTAAAAATAAAACATTATCTGTGTTTGAACGTCTTTTTTTCTATAATATTTTGATTTTTAAATTGTATGTTTTACATACTTTTGTTAAGTTACTATTCATCCCTGTACCAAAACTTAGTTTGGTTAAAATGTTTAGATTTAATGTTACTTACGTTGAACGAAGAAATATATCGGCCAAATAAAACAATCTGGTTTTATATCGATAACTAAATATATCTGTTGTAAAAAAGTTGTAAAGTTTCCCGTAAATATTTGGACATTCTCTAATTAGAAACAATAATAATAAAAAAAAATTAATTAAAATAAATAAAAACATTACAAATGGTTTAACTTACTGTTATATTATTTCAAAATTAAAATTAATTTTATTTTAGCATTCTTTTATTGTGAAGAATTATAAATTTAAAAAGGTAGGTAAGTGAAGGGGAAGTGAGTACCATTTTGCTTTAGTGTGGTTAGGTTAGGTGTTGAGTGAGTCACTGTTATGAGTATGTTAAATTTGAAACATTTTTTCAAAATCTAGTTTAGTATAAAAATTATTTTTTCTGGTAAAATAAAAATAAAAATAAATATTCAGAATTTTTAATTATTACCTTTTTAAAGAATAAGTTGAATATTAAAGATAATTACTATGTACACAAGATAAAAAAACATATCATTGTAAACCATTCTTTGCTCTGCTCAGAATTTAAAACAAATTCTGCATAGTAATAAAGGCAATATTTTATTAGATGCTTAAGTAAAATGCATTAAAAACAAAAATAGCTCATACATCTATTAAACATTAGATTATACATGGCCAATAATGAATAAATTAAAAACCTAATAATGTTATAGCTTATAAAATATATTTTAAATTTTAGGTGAACAGTCAGAAAATATTTTGATATTAAAATAGAAAATTTTCAGTATTACTTACAAATTATAATCCTTGACCAAAATAAAAATGCCTTGAAGGCCTAATATTGCAACTGGACCAGCTATAAATTTAATAAAAAACATGTTATGATTACAATATAATAAGGTATAGAGTATAAAAATATAAACATACGAGTATCCAATGAATTCATGAGAAAGTCTGCAGTTACAAGTGGATTTTTTAAATGCATTAACATCTTTTCAATCAACAATGTTAACATCTCTCGTCTAATTTTAATATTTGATGACATGAAAGGTATCATACCATCCCAAATTATTGTAACCCAAGTTTTTAATTGTTCAGAATCATATTTAAATTGAGGACGTTCTTTTAAACAAATTCACAAATTAATTAAGTATGATTAATTTATTTTTAAGTTATTAATATTTATATACATAAATATATACCTACTGTTATTTTTAAATAATAATTTATCGTCTTCTTTTTTTTCAGTGGGAATTTTAATTAATCCTAAAAGATTTGTAAACATGTATATATTTGTTTTGTCTGTGTTTAGATTTTGTACAATTGAAGAAAAACATTCCCACGAGTAATAACAAAAATCCAAATTTTCAATATAATTTGTTAACATTTGTTGAAATTGTGACCATTGAATATTTGTAGTAGTAAGCATAGATGTATAAATTGTCTACAAAAAAATATTTATAAATAGTATAATTAATTATTAGACTGTACATTTTACTGAATGCACTCACTTTTAATTGATCAACAGGGAAATAATATTTCTTTTTCACTATTTCTCCAGTTGGACATTTATTTTCCTGTAAAAATTTTTCGAATAATTTTTTAAATTCTGCAACCGACGCCATGCTTAAAAAAGTCTTTGTTGAATTTTTGTTAGTTGATTTCTCTGTAACACAATTTAAAATAGGTATTATACTTAAAAAATATCTAAAAAAATGTATATCTTAAATTGTAGACTGCATCGAAAAAATGTATTATATGCAGTAGTTTATAAAATAACAACCTGCTTGTTACTTACTAGTAACTATTCTCAACTTGTTGTTATTCTTAATTTTTTTAAATTTTAAATTTTAAATTTTAATATTTATAATTTTGAATTATTTTGTTATCAATTTATGTTGCTACAAAAATGATATAACCAATAAAAATTTAAAACCTCACGTGTCTTGCATGGCTAGAGCTACCAGTTCAACAATTAAGGATAATTATTGTGTGTAGTTTTATTATAATCAATGGTAGGTATAGATAAATGTATGATAAAGCCGATAAAGGGTATATAGTTAAATAGTTTATACTTTTATTATAGTTATTACTGTTATTAGTTGTAATTTTCAAATAAAAAAAAAGTTATTGATTTACACTCAAGAATTTTATTGTTAATTGTTTATTGATTATTTAAAGTTTGAGATGTTTAAACATCAATTATTTTACTGCCCATTTTAATATAAAAAGAATTTTTTTTGTTATTTATTACAAATTGTAAATTCATAAGGTGGTCAAAACGGTAACTGTTGATAAAAACACTAGACAGTGTTTTACGATAATATTTTCGCTGGTTTGGATACACTACATCAGCCAATATGATTTTTTCAAAAGAATCACTTACAAAATTTTTACTGAATGTCTGAATTTGTCAATTTTATGAGATTTCAAATATTTTATAATTGTACTTATTAAATTTAATAAAAATGTATCCTCATACCCGATTATTGTGTTTGAGTAGTTATGCAGGTAAGATGATTTAACTGTTTTTTTTCTTCTTTAAATTGTTTTTTATTAAATATTACAAACATAATGTGTGTGACATTTTAATGTAGGGAAGTTGACAGAATTTTGGTCAAATAGTAGTAGATGTATACACCAGATGAGTATGAAAAATATAGTGAAAACACCGTTAATTTGTGGTCAACCCACAGACGAATCTCATCCCCATTTAGTGATGAAGGGTGAAGTGAGTATTTAAAGAAATAACTGTATGGAGTGAATCTAATGAAATATAGTATAATTAAACTTAATATTTCAGCTTGTTCCTGGTATAAAAAAAGAAGAATTTATAATTAGAAGGCGCAAGTTAATGGAATCTGTATTGAGCACAAGGAAAGATTTTTACCATGTAATTGTTATACCGTCAGCCATTAGACAATATATGTCTGACCATATTCCATATCCGTTTAGACAAAATACGGATTTTTTATACTTTAGTGGATGCCAAGAAACTGACTGTGCTTTGGTTTTGTGTGGTAATTCTGTTGATAACTTTACATCAACTCTATTTCTAAAGCCTTATGATCCTCAGTCTGAGTTGTGGAATGGACCTAGTACAAGTAGGTGACTGAAATTTAGTTTCCGGTACATGTAACTGTTTAGAATATTTTGTTTGCAGAAGCCGAGTGTGCACCATTAATTTTTGGGGTTGATGATGGCAAAACATTACCACAGCTTTCAGAATTCATAATGTCTGAACTTAAAGGCCATAATAATTGTGTTATATGGTACAATCAAAAACAAAAAGTTCAAAGTGTTGTTGATAGGACTGTAAATAATGCTGCTGCAGAAAATTCAATTTATGTGAGTTCATATTAGGTAATTGACAACCGATCATTATCTTTTATTATTATGTTATGTTATTTAATAAATTATTATTTTTTCGTTTAAACTATGGGGTTTCTGAATTTTACATTTTATTATAATTTTTTTTGTAGTTAGATGATAGTTTGGTCAATCATTGTCATCAATTACGCTTGTTTAAGTCATTAGCTGAACAAAAGTTAATGCGACAAAGTTGTCAAATAGCTTCTAAAGCATTTATTAAAGCAATAATGTCAACAAAACCAGGGTCTACAGAACATGAATTGTATGCTACATTAGACTATGAATGTCGAATGGGTGGAGCTGAATATCTTGCTTATCCTCCAGTGGTTGCTACTGGAAATAATGCTAATACCTTGCATTACATTGATAATAAACAAAAAATAAAGGATGGAGATTTAATTCTTGTAGATGCTGGTGAGATCAAATTAATATTTGTATACAATTTATTTTGTACCATATTTGTTTTATTTCTAAGATGCAGTAATAATTTTAATATTCATAGCTTTAAGTTTTAATAGTAATTAACCATATTTGATTGATTAGGCTGTGAATATCATGGATACTCGAGTGATATATCTCGGACATGGCCAGCAAATGGATGGTTTTCTGATGCTCAAAAGACATTGTATGAAGCTACTCTATGTGTTCAAAAAGAATTGATTGACATGTGTCAAGCACGTCCATCATTAGATACATTATATGAAGCCATGTGTTTTAAATTAGGAAAAGCCTTGGCAGCAGCCCATGTATTTAAAAAAAATGTTGATTCTTCAGAGTTAAATATGGTAAATTTTTATAAATTTTATAGACTATTTTATTTCAATACAATCGTAATGTACAAGAATAAAATAGATTGATGGCATTTTTAGTTATCCCGTGCATTGTGCCCTCATCACGTTAGTCATTATTTGGGTATGGACGTACACGATATTGGTACAGTCAAAAAAAGTATTAAGACAGAACCTGGTTTTATCATCACAGTAGAACCAGGTTAGTCCCATTGTTCTAAAATTGTCTAACATCTTCCATAAAATGTATAACTCATTTATTTTAGGTGTTTATATAAGTAAAAATAATATAAGAGTTCATGAAGAATTCCTTGGATTGGGTATACGAATAGAAGATGATGTGTTGATTACTGAAAACAGTATTGAGGTGTTAAGTGAAGATTGCCCTAAAGAAATAGTGGATATTGAAAAAATCATGTCTAAGCAACCCAAGTGATTTAAGTTGAGTTTGATTTATTTTAGTTATTTATATTATGTTATTGTTATATCTTATATTTAAGTCCTTTTTTTTTTACTACTTATTAAATGAAAATTATGACGAATTTTTAAAGCAAATGTTGGCTGTGCCTTGTTAAAAACAATATTATGTATAATATATTAATGTTTATTGTGTTTACATTCTGTTGTACTTGTTTATCACAAATAATACATATATTTGTACAACTGTTAAATACAACGTGAGTGTAAAAATATTTAACTTGTGTTTAAGATTTTTACTTTGAAAAATATAAATGTTTTAAACTGTACATTTTTCTTTAGATATTATTTACTATTATTTTTCATAGATTTACTATTTAAGAATTTAGAAAATTTTATTATATCATAGTCAATTACAATAAAATTCATTATTTAATCTAATATACCATGACACAAATATGTAAAATATTTATTACTAATCAGAGATAAACAAAAAAAATATATATTTTCAGTTAATAGTTTCAAAATGTGTTTCATTTTATGCAACTATTAATTTAAAATTATTTATTGATTTTGTCTGACCAATCAGTTGATGATTGTAATTTCTAGATTTTATGGATTTTATACAGCAACATAGTGATAACTATAAAACTAAGTAGTATTTAATGAATAAAAATTAAAAAATATTTAAATCTGTTGCTGTTTTAGGTATGTTTTAAATAATTGTTTATTGAATACAACCAAATAATTATATTTAGGTATTTAACCCAATATTATATATATATATGTATATTTTTAGAATAGTAAACGCCTTAGTATGTGATGTCCTTATAGGCCCATAGTACAGTTGTAAATTAATTAGTAATTACCTATACATAATAGCTAATATTTGATTCAGGTTATATAATAAAAATAACAATTTTATAAAACAAGTACAAGTTTTAAGGTGCTAATGTGAATATGATTAATATATTTAAACATGCACTTAATACATTACCTATTAAACGGATTTTTACACATATTGAAATGAACAATTATGTCCTTTACAAAAACTTATATGATAATAACATATTAATATAGTTAAATCTGAAATTGTTAAATAATAATATAAATTATTGTGATACTTGTTTTGTTATTTTTATAAATTATTTGATATCTATGAAGTATAATTTTCAGAAATATGTTACCTTATCTATGAAGTAATTTACAATTTTATATCCATAATAAAATATTTTTTATTGATTCACTTAAAAAAAAAATTATAACAATGATATAAACCATTGGTAAATAAACTCTGAATTATGAAGAGCTATTTGTATTAATTTTGTAAGTTATTTTTCTGAAAGCAGTTTTTAAAGAAATAAAAAAAGATTAGCAAACAGGATACTATCCCGATATAAAAACGAGGTAATTTTACATACAATTATAATAAATATATATTTTTAGAGAAAATATGAAAAAACTAAATGTTCTTTCTTTTTTAAAAGATATTTATATAATCTTTATGTATAGAATAATACAATGAGTAAATAGGTACTCGTATAAGTTAATATGGAGTACTACACTTGGTAATGTAAAGAAATGGAGCGTCCATCGACATTTCTTTCAATTTAAAACTTAAATAATAAGCCGTTTTTATGTGAAGAGTTTTAAAGCTTACATTTTTATTATCAACACAGCACTCAACTCGTGAAATATAAGTAAAAATAACAATAATAATTTACAATGACAACCGAAAATATCCAAATAAGTGAAAAATTATAGCGAAGTACGAAGAAATTTCAATCGTCGCTTAGAATAAGTACCTATTTAAAAAAAAATATTAGCGCACGTTAATATACTAATCTATGGTTGATTCATTGGTTTTACAGTGATGTGCGTTTTTTTTTTTTTTTTATCGACACAATAGAAAATTCTAGACAGACAAGTGTAGCAATGCATTAAGTAAAAAATAAATACAGCGTCTACGATGCTGAAGCTAAAAAAAAAGTAATGATATCGCCATCAAAAACCTTCCAGCTAAAAAAAATCAATTTAAAGACCGCTTAACAAAAAAATCAGCCCATTGAAGTTGGAATATCTACATTGTTGTCAAGTTTGTCTTATGCCTTCTTAAAAATTACAAGATCGTACTTGGATTTCGGTATTTGGTGATTAGCTTTATATTAAGTTTTAACGCAGCCATGTAAATTATTCAAGTAGATTAATTTATACTTTATAGTTATTATTATGTTCCTTAATAGTTAGCATCAAAATATAATTATTAAAATCATTTGCAGCTATAATAATTACATATCCAGGATCTGCAG